GACACTGATAGCTCGACTTTGTTTACCTTTGTTACATTCGACGTAATGAAAATTTGCTCTTGATGACATGTTTGTTTACGTCTCATCCTTTATGTCAAAGATGGATTCCGTCACGTGTAAGATTAGGTATATCTAAGTGTGTAGCTTGACATTTTATTTTGCTGGATCTCAGTGAAAAACTTGCCGTGATTCAGCTAACAAACGGGAATTATGCTGAGATCTCAGCTAGCAAACAGAAATTGTGTCGAGATCTCAGTAAAAATAAATGCCGAGCTGCTCGGCGGAGTCAAACTCGGCAAAAAATCTATGTTTGTAGCTGGAACACCTTGGTTAAAACAATAATGTAAATTGATTTTAATTTGATACAAATTAAAAAATATATATAAGGCATGATGAAAAAAAAATCGATTCTTAAAGCATATGCCCACAAAATTGGGCAAATCATCATTGCGTCGGTCATGAGCACCGAATCTCGGATTAGATCCTATTTTTGGATTGGGCTGGATTGTCTACAAATACGTCAGTCAACATTACTTGCACGTTTTTCTTAGAAGGCAGTAGTGTACAAAATCACAGACAAACAGACCAAAAGCTTTCTCTTAAATATTACTAGATTCGCGAATCTGTCACAACACCGCTGACATCGGATCACTTTGACTTTTCTATACATTCTATTGGACTTGTATGCAACATTGTTTAAGATTTAGCAAGCAAGCTACAAGCGCGTGAGACGTTAGTGAGTTCCGTGACGATATCACTGACAAACCAACATGAATTACCATAGCAAAAACAATAAAATGTCTGACCAAAGCACACTAATGACATCTGGCTCCGGGTTCGCGTCTGATCTATTCTGCACAAATTATTTTTATCTAGATAAAAAAAATCCTACAGTTTTGACAGTTCGGATCACTGCACATTTAAATCGACCGTTTACGATTATCGGACATAAGTCAGAATTAAGTGTCATGTCGGTTTGTCGGTGACGATATGTTTAAGGAAAAGAGTTACGTCTATTTGTCTGTGGTAAAACAATTCTCATTCGCAGAAAATAATGAGCGGATTATTAATGACTTTTATAAAAAAAATTCTACAATTAGTAAACTGTGTTTTTATTAACCTTTGGAGATAATTTATTAAAGTACCATTCATCCCCATGTAACTGCCCTATGTGGCATAACAGTCAACCGGTGAACACTCGTGTTTATTTCAGTTACCGTGGAGACATAATTTGTGATTAGCCCCGGTCCCTTTCTTTTTTTTTTTTTTTTTCCTTTGGTTTGTTTTTTCCGTCGATCTTGTTTTCCGTGCTGAGCACCAATGCTACCGACGTGCCAGGAAGGCAGCTCCCACACCTGGACCCTACCTATCGACCCATCAACTCATGAACCGGGGACCAACGGCTTTACTTCCCATCCGAAGGAAGGCGTGATCAGAGATGTTATGCCTCAGAACATCCCGGCGGCGCCGACTGGGATTGAACCCAGGCCTGCTGGGGTGAGAGGTAATCACGCTTACCACTACACCACCGGCGCCGTTCCGGTCCCTTTCAAATTGTATCATTATTTATATAGGTCCTTATATTTTAAATGACGTTTCACATTCATCTAGTGATGACCGATTTTCATTCGAATAATCGATTAATCGATTGACGAACCGAAAAGTAAAATATCGGTTATATCATGCATATATAAGCATTAACATCTCCAGATGATCATCACCGATCGTTTCAAACGTGCTGCACTCTCATTGGTGGAAAAATGGCAGCACAGCGAACAAAAAATAATCGATTAGTTGTTAATCGAGTAATTAAAAAAAGGAACATCTCTGATTTTAGTGTGATTGTTTTGATAAAAATGAGCGCAAAATTTCATATCTACCGAGGGGGCAGCAAAACCACAAAATTACCTTGAATACGGGGGGTATTCATTGGATGAAAGGAACCGTGAAAGAGGACACTAAAATAGAAAGTTTTTCTTCCGACAATTTCATCTTAGTATTCATCTTTGTAACAGTCCCATTAGCGTTTTTGGCGAAAATTAGTTATACGATGGAATCGATTGTCAAGTTTCATCACTTTACATGAAAAAAATTTCAAACCCATGTTGTCCCATCCATAAGAACCCACAGAGAGGAAAATCATCAATAGCGTTTTTCTCAGCTTACTGTTTTAACGAATGGGACAATTATGCTGAGAAGGGCAGTATATGCCTGCACCGGAGGAATTTCTGGCTCTGAAAGCAATGGAACTTGGAATGAGATGAAAATAATTATAAGGCTTGTACTCGAAAAAAAATGCACCATTTTTATCCGTGTGTAACTTTTTTATCCGTGGGTAAAAATTGATGAAAATCTGAGTATAACTAGTTTAGAGTGAATTGTTTACATGTGCAAAATTTCATAACAATCGGTTCAGTGCAGCGCTGCCATTTATACAGATTTATCTGTATTATACAGATTTTTTAATCTTAATACAGACCCGATACAGAATACAGATTTATCACAGATTTTTAAATTCCAATACAGATTTATACAGATTTTTATAAAATGCTTGAGAGAAAAAAAAATCAAAATTTATAAAAACAAAATAACTTGCTCGATTTTATCAGCGTACCCCCTTCTCTCCAAAATTAATTGTTGTGCTAAAAACCATATTTTTTGCAGTGGGATCTGCTCGAGGCGTTGCTGTTTCTTTTATGCTTCTCTCACTCCCTCCAACGGAAAACGCAGTCACACCCGATTCCACTGTGCGTTTATATAGCTGCCTTTTAATAACTCATGATGACATCAAAATTTGATGTATTTTTATTTTGTTTTTTCGGCATGCATGCAATAACATGTTGATAACTAAATTTGTAATCTAAATAAAATATCTATATCAAAATAAGTTATCAAGCAGTTCTCACTAATATCAATATATGTTATAATTTTGATATTCTTTGCATATCTTTTAGCTCTCATTTTTGTTCTGTTAGCCATCAACTCCATCAAAATGAAATCAATTTGAGTTATCAGGAATAATGAAAACAATATAATTCTTGTTTTCATTTTGTTCTCACCCTCTGCTCGGGAACCTATCAAATTTCCATCGACAATTAATCATGTTATGGTGTTTTTGACAGCATTCACAACCAGAGGACCAACCGCTTTCGGATGCATATGGAGCTGGTAGTAAACGATTTGAGATTGTATGGGGATTTACAGTATTAATTGAATATTTCCAATATAAGCATGTATGTTAAATACAAGAAAAGTGCCCAAGCACATTAAAATGGTACAAATACAAGTACAAATACAACATTTTACTTGCATTGAAAATGTATTTCGTAAGAAATTGCGGATTTTCTGATATTCTCCATACTGCAAAAATGATTTTACCAGCACTGGCGGGGTGACATCTCTCGACTTTTCGGTGTAACTATCACACAAATGATGTAATTAATTGTATTCATCTATATTAAAAATATCAAATAGTAATGATCGTGCACTTTTTTGCATTTAAAACTGCTTATCAGGAAGAAAATGAATAGAAACTAAAATCTCCATACATTTTTAAACGGCTTCATATCACTCTTATAAATAAGTACGGACGATATCACAAATGGCGCAATTATATCCCGTATGGTTAGTACGATAGCCCGAATAGGTGGTTAAGCACTTTTTAAGGTTATTTTGTATGCACTGTATTTGTAAAACAACAAAACATGATTAATTAAGAAAAAAATCGTCAATACAGAAAATACAGATTTTTTAATAGAGTGGATACAGATTTTTTATAAAACCACCTGGCAGCTCTGGTTCAGTGGTTATTGAGATGTCATCGAAACAAGAAGAAAATCGCCGGATAATTTTGCGCGCCGTCAAGGAAAATCCGACTGTGACCATGAGATGGATCGATCGGAAGACAACTGTGTCTCGGCTGTTAAAATTGTTCAAGGAGTCCCAGACGACCGAGCGGCGGGCTGGAAGTGCAAGAAAATCGAAGACAACTGACCCTGTGAAGGCCCGGAAGGTGTTGGATTATTTCAAGCGTAATCCGAACCTTTCGATTCGCGACGCGGCTCTGAAGGCAAAGTGTTCCGCCTGGTTCGTTCAGCAAACCATGAAACGAGCTGGGTTTCGTGTATTCAAGGTCCGGAAGGCACCGAACCGGCGTGATCAACAAAACACGGCGGCCAAATCCCGCGCAAGGAAGCTGTATCGAGAGTGGTTAACGAAACCGATGTGTGTGGTTATGGATGACGAAACCTACATCAAGGCAGACGCAAAGCAGATACCGGGGCTGGAGTTCTACGTTGCTAAATCACGGTTTGATGTTCCGGAAGACATAAGGAAGAAGAAAGTGGACAAATTCGCCAAAAAATACTTGCTCTGGCAGGCCATATGCCAATGCGGTAAACTGAGTAAACAGTACATCACAATGGGTACCATCAACAGCGAAATTTACCGCACCGAGTGCCTCCAGAGGCGTATGTTGCCCTTCCTGCGGTTCCACGGAGACGAAACATTATTTTGGCCGGACTTGGTATCATGCCATTACGCGCGATCGACGTTGGATTGGTACAGAGACAATAACGTTGTTTTTGTACCAAAAACCACCAACCCCCCAAATTCACCAGAGATTCGTCCGGTGGAAAGATTTTGGGCCATAATGAAGGCCAAAGTTCGAAAATCGTCCAAGGTGTTTAAGAACGAGCTGGAGTTGAAGAAAGAATGGATGAAAGTGACCAAAAAGGTCGGCTCCACCATTGCACAAAATGTAATGAGGGGTCTTAAGGGATAGGTGCGGGCTTTCAGCGATGGAAAAGAAATTGAATAAAGTAATTATGCCGAAACATAAGTTCATTCCCTGAAAGTTTCAAGAAAATCCGACTTAAAATAAATTTTTGGCGAACACTTTTGTCTGGTGCATTTTTTTCGAGTACAGACCTTACAACACATTTGACCATTTGACCGTTTTACTAACTTCTCGTTCCATCCATTCTCGTTCTACTCCACAGTTAACATCATCTCGTTAGCGCAAGGCACGGCCATCGGATGGCTATCGCCGTTTCTTCCGCTGCTAGTTTCCGCTGATGCTCCCCTGCATACTGGTCCCGTAACGGATGTTCAAGCTACGTGGATAGCTTCGCTGCTCTGCGTAGGTGCCATCTTCGGAACCGTTCTTTTCGGATGGTCAGCGGACAAATTTGGCCGGAAATTTTCCCTCTGCATTGCAGCCATTCCGTTGATCGGATTTTGGGCATGCATCGCCTTCGGAGGTTACGTGGAAATACTGTATCTTGGACGACTGCTGGCAGGTTTGGGCGCTGCAGGAGTTTTCCTCCTTGTGCCTCTCTACGTTACCGAAATAGCTGAAGACAGGTTGGTTCGGAAATCAAACGGAATTTGCCATGAAAATTAATTTAACCATAATTTCTCTTGATTCGTTAGCATAAGAGGCTCTCTTGGATCTTTCTTCATCCTGTTCATCAATCTGGGCACGTTTGTGTCATTTGTTGTTGGAAGCTATCTATCCTACCATATTACTTCATACATCCTCATCGTATTGCCGATCGTATTCTTGCTTTGTTTCATCAATTTCCCGGAGACTCCACAGCATTTGATTCGCTGCAACAAAATCGAGGCTGCTGAATGTTCCCTGAAGTATCTCCGCGGGTACACAACCTCTCCGGAGCACGTGGAAATGCTGAAGAGTGAAATGATCACCATGATCAATCAGGTTTACCCGAATGGAAAGGACGACAGCGAGGAGTTGTCGATTCAGTTGGCAGATTTCGGTAAGGAAGTCAACGGAGTATTTCAATCTAACCCTTGTCATATCTATATTTTACATCTACTGCAGCTCCATTTGCCACCAAGAAAGCCCTTCTAATCGGAATGGTGCTGGTTACGTTGAATCAGTTCTCCGGATGCTTTGCTCTTATCAATTACACGGCCAACATCTTTGCCGAAGCCGGATCAGACCTAGATCCCAACATGGCGGCGATCATTGTTGGAGGAATTCAGATAATTGGCTCATACGTCTCCACGCTGGTGGTAGATCGATTCCAGCGAAAGGTAAACACTTCAAACTTCTTATGATTTTTTTTTACTTATCGCAATGATCCCCACAGGTGCTTTACATCGCTACTGCATTCGGTTCAGCAATCGGCTTATTTGCCATGGGAGTTCACGCCTACCTGAAGGTGTCCGGATACGACGTCAGTGCAATTAACTGGATTCCGGTGGCCAGTTTGTCGTTTGTGATATTCATTGCTGCTTGCGGTATTCTCCCGTTGACCTTTGTGATTCTGTCAGAGATCTTACCGCAGAAGCTTCGAAGCTTTGGGGGATCCCTGTGTACCACGTTCCTATGGGTGGTGAGCTTCATTGTGATAAAATACTTCCCGGTGATGGTGGAAGTGCTAGGGATGCATGGCTGCATGTGGACCTTTGCCGGATGTTGCCTGTTTGGAGTGTTCTTCAATGCACTGTTCATACCGGAAACGCGTGGCAAGAGCATCGAGGAAATTACGCTTGCCATGGAGGGTAGGAGCAAGAACTGATAGACGGTGCGGCATTGAGGAATAAATGTATTTGTATATATGTACGTGCTTTTGATTGAGTGCCATTGTACGGTTGTAAAACTACAATAGTCCGTGATGATTTAGTCTGCTAGAGTAATTATGTAGAGAGTGATGAGTGATTGATGGTTTATTTAAGCGATTGAAACATAATGTTTCGTAGTTGATTGATTTTCTCTCATTAGCTTTACTTAGAATATGGTATATTTTTTTCTAATTTATCTCAACGAGTTGTGATTGATGTGATTAAGCTAGTTCACTTTCTAGAATAAATTGTGATGAAGAATGTAAAACAATAACAATAATTTATAATCCGAAAATCCTCAATCTGAACGCTTGCAGGGACATTTTCCATTTCTACCTACACTCAAAAAATTGCACACGTTTGATCGAAGTGTTTAAACACTTGATTTTTTAAATGCACAATCACATTTACTTTAAGTGTATTTCACCTTGGTTCAATGTGTTATACACGTTAATTTATGGTGTTTCAAACTTTGAAATGTTGAAAATCATTCACTATATATTCAAGTGTATAGCACATTGAATCACACTACTGTTCAAAACAGATGGATTTAAAGTGTTTTGCATTTCAATACGATGTGAATTGCTTGCTCAGAAAGGTAAACATCGAAAACAAGAGTTGTGACTTTATCCTATCAACCCGCCTCATATATGATGACAACCGTGGCACAGTGAGATCGAACGAAGACTCCGGCAGCAGCTCACCCCAACAGTCCATGATCGAATCCCAAATCAGATCCATTAAAAAGATATGTGACAGATCTGGCCTCTGGCAGTTTTGTTTATATATTTGTCGATTCATTTTTAGAGCCGGTAAAGTAGAAGTCGATAAAGTAGAATATTGTATAATATTGAACTATGATGTGCAAAGCTATTGATATGACCATATGAGGCACATAGAATCCAAGTGTGTCACAATTCAAATCCATAGTGTTCGGGCATGGTTCATAGCATAAAATTCACACATGAAATGGATGTTTTTCACAATATGCGCAAAATTAAGTGTGAGACACATGATGATGACGTGTGGAATTTTTTGAGTGTAGACTTCAAAACGGTTTTATAAGAGCAACCATAACGGTCGTTGGAATATGAGTGGCTATGGCTATTTTAACTACGCAGTGCGCTCTCATTTTAGTATAAAGGGTGTCCACGATGAAATTGCCACACACAAAATTGATTCGCAAAATTCGAGTTTTCATCCGATTGCCATCAAATTTTCAGGGATTGAGAAATAACTGTTAAACTTCATTTTACCTTTTTACTCGTATTTTATTTACAGTCCATACGCAAATGCCCGCACCTTGGCCTTAACCCCGGCCATAAGATTCTGCACAACCTGTGAATCAACCGTTTTTTGCATGTAAACCCATACTTTCTTCAGTTCCTCGACTGTCTTCACTACCTTAGGTCGTTTAAGAAGGTGCTGCTTCATAATCGCCCAGTACTTCTCGATGGGGCGGAGCTCCGGAGTGTTGGGAGGGTTGAACATTTTCGGCACGAAATTGACCTTATTGTCCGCATACCACTTCAGCACGTCCTTGGAGTAGTGGCATGAGGCCAAATCCGGCCAGAAGATTGTTGGGAAGTTGTGGGCCTTCAGGAGAGGAAGCAGCCGCTTCTGGAGGCACTCTTTTATGTACACCTGTCCGTTCATCGTGTCCTGAGTCACGAAAGGTGCACTCCGCTTCCCGCACGTGCAGATGGCTTGCCAAACCAGGAATTTCTTCGCAAATTTGGACATCTTCTGAGTGCGGACATGCTCCGGAACGCTGAACTTATCCTTGGCCGTGAAAAACAGGTTGCCGGGGATCTGTTTGAAGTCGGCCTTCACATATTTTTCGTGGTCCATGATGCAGCATTCAACTTTCGTCAGCATGTTGAGGTACAACTTCCTGGCACGGGTTTTGGCGGACTTGTTCTGCTTCTCGTCGCGATTAGGGGCCTTTTGTACCTTGAACGTTCGAAGCCCAGCCTTAGTTTTGGCCTTCTGGACAAAACTTCGGCTTAGGTGCAGCTTCTTAGCCACATCCCTAACGGAGGCGTTCGGATTTCGGTTGAAGGCCCCAACTACGCGGTTGTGATTTTTGGTGTTGTACGGAATACTTTTTCCTTCACTTCTGGGCTTCCGATCGGTGGTCAACCGTTCCTCGAACCGCTTAATCACTCGCGACACCGTGGAATTCGCAATTCCCAACGTTTTAGCGATGGAACGATGCGAGAGATCCTTGTTCTCGTGATGAATGCGCAAGATTTTATCACGCACGAGCTGTTCTTTCGACTCCATTTCCGCGAGTTTTGATCACAGGACTTTAAAACTTGCAGGATGTAAATAATGCACTATGAACTAAATCCACCCAAATTTTCATTAAATTCTACCCAACGGTTAAAAAGTTAGAGCAATTTCATAGTGTGGCAATTTCATCGTGGACACCCTTTAGTCACTCTTTTTCACACAGGTCGTTGCTATCGCGGGTACCAAACAAGTTGTCCCATTCCGTATCGGTAGTGAATATTTTGACAACGAAACCGTCTGTTTAAGCATCCTCGAACTATTCGCTGTGTTTTTCGGATTCCAGAGACGACGATCTGGAATTGGTACACTGAACGAATTTGACATATTCCTGTTATGTGGAAGTCTAATAAATTTGCGCTATAAGATAATCCATTGAAAATGATATGATTGAAAATGTGTCAGGTAAATTCTATATGAATATCTGATACATTTACAATGCTGATAATTTGGTAACTTTTATATGATCGTCATATGATAAATGAAAATCGATTAATTTATAATAATTAACTGAAATGGATTTGAAACCCATAAGCATAAGCTATACTTTTCACCACAATATAATATATGTGTCATAAATCAATCGAAGTAAAGTTTATGTGAAAATAACATGAAATTTACTTCTTCTTTTGACACATATATTTAATCGATTTCTAAAAATAAATTCGAAAAATAAACATCAGGCAGTGGGAGCTTTCACAGTTGTGCCTTTTTTTTATTGTAGCTGATTTTGGATTCGATCAAGATCTGTTGAGGTGTGATGCTTTCGGTGTCTGTGCTCGATTCCACTGGGCCACGGCTGACTTCAAGATTGAGCTCGTTCAAATAGCATGAAGTAAGAACAGCTCTCCCGACATGGAATGTAGTGCAACTTTATGCTCGTTTTGCTAGAGTGAAGACAAATAGCACTGACAAATTTATGTTCCGTTTCGGTGGTGTGGTTTGTTCAAATCTTTCTTAATGCACCTGTGTGCAATAAATCAACGACTAAATTATATGATTTGATAGAACTGGCTCATGAAGTTCGAGTACTACTTAGGGCTGGAATCTGAATTAGCCGTGTAGAAGGCTTACAATTAGAATCATAGCAAAGTAAATATTACAGTAGAATCATTTTTTTTTTCAATCTCAATACATTCTTTTCTGGAACCAATTATCATATGAATGAGTGTACGTTAACATCGTTGAAAATTGTTTCAATAATTTATAAAGAACAATCATGTAAGATGTATTTTATTGGGAGCGATATTCATCCCAGAAAAACATGCAAAAACAAATGCTTGCTGTTGGATTTCTTAAAAGGCATTTCTATATGACTATTTAATGATTGGGATAGATCTGTTTACAATCTTTAAACGTCAAAAATCAAAGCAAGCTATTACAATGAGATATACATGTTTTCCTATACTGCAAAGTTAAATGACAGTCCAATAGTTTCTACGTGTCTATTTACACGCGACATATCAACAAACGTCAAAAATCAGTAAAAGCAACTCCAATAAAATATACATGATTATCTTATAAGATATATATTTTAGTGAGCAATATTCATCATGAAAACAGGTATATTTTACTGAATTTTCTCATAGTGCAAACTTATATGATTTTCCATTAGTTTCTAGATGTCTGTTCCCACCCATGACATATCAACAGTTTTTCACCATGAAATATATCAGACAATATTCATATACTTCTTACCTTCGCTAACCACGTTCGAAGGAAAGTATTATCAAGTACTAAGTATGTGAAATTACGATAGAAATCATTCCATATCGCAGTCATAGTTTTTAAGTGATAATCCAATGGAGTCTTTCAATCATCACATAGAATGAATAAATATGCTGACATTGCTATGTTATAAGATGGATCCAATAAACGGTACATGTCGATTTGTTTCAGTGTAAGCAGGATTTTATTCCAGACGCAAGCTATTGGCGTCTTGCAGTGAAACTTTTCCAAGCTTTCGCCTCCTACATTTCGAAGTGAGAACTACTAGAAAGAGGATAGTTTCCAAATTTTCCAGGGGGAAATCGGTCCATTAAGAAAAACTAATAATTTCCCGTGGAAACTTTTGCTTGAATCGTGTAAGAAAACGTGTTTGAAAACTAATTGTTATTATTTCGATATAGATCGGAGATGTTTTCATGGAAAATAATACATAACAAGTTTGCACCCACAGCAAGAGGTTACCGCCTGCGCAGCTACATTTTTCGGAAAATGGTGAATATGTGCGATTTCTACTAAGATGAAAGTGGAAATGAAGTGAATTTACTTAGGAAAGGTTGTATCATGCTGGTGGTAATGGAGAATTGGTTGTATAGGACGCCAATATTCAATAAATGTTCATTTTGGCCGTTTCTAAGCAAACATATTGATACTCACAATTTTCGACGGAAAACGCAACGGAACTTGATTTACTCAACACGCACCATACTACAAAATGGTGCTAGATGGTTTTCAAAGTGATAACAAGATGACAAATCATCTTTATTTTGAGCAATTGAGCAATTCACTTCTGTTTACATCATATTTACGATGCAGCATTGATGGAGCCGCGAAATGAAATGAATGTATCTTATGAAAGTTCATCTGGAAAAGTCAAAGATACACATCAGTCTGATTGGCAAATCAAAGTTGGCACTTGTGGAGAATAGAAGAACTATGAAAGTGATGATGGTTTCAAAATTTTCCACTGTGAGGTATACGAGTGCAATCTTAAAATGCTTTTATTTTGGAAATGGAGCATTTTATTTAAATCTGGTTGCTGCTTCAGTTGTAGAAAAGCTGAAATCTATGTCTACACATAAAAATCTGAAAAGAAATTATTTTTTCTATATTATATGTCTATTAAGTAGTCCTTAAGTTTTCTACTAGCGTAGCATTAACCAGATTTAAATAAAATGCTCCATTTGCAAAATAAAAGCATTTTAAGATTGCATTCGTATACCTCA